CCCGAAACGATCCTCCGTTCCCCGTTCTTCCTGGTTCTGGGGGAGGATACTGATGGTAGAGGAGCCATAGGCTCCTTCTGCCATCAAACTAAGGTGAAGAGGAGGGGCGTGGCCTGCCGCAGGGCTGTGTGGGTGTCTATGGACGCACAACAGCCACTGCAGGCACAAGCACGCACGGGTGCCTCCACAACAGCCACTTAGCTAATGGAGGCTCCTGTGCAGGGGGCAGTGGGAGAGTGCTGCGAGGAGCCACTAGAAAACAAGGAAGAGAAAAAACAAGGAAGAGAAAACTTTTTAAAGAACAGCATTTTTGTACAAAAGGTGGGCCTCCTAGTTGTGAAGGTAAAAAAAAAAAAAACTTTGAATATCAATGTAATATTGTTCTGCACAATCATGCAAAACTAAAATGGTTGATTTGGTTGCAAAAATAGACCCAAAGGTTAATGCTAAAATGTTTGCATGCAATATGCACAAGATTTGGAACACAACTGCGTGATGTCTACATCTGCTAATAAACTGATCATACACCTTTCAAAAAAAAAAAAAAAAAAAGGACTTCCTTCACATCACATCTTCCAAAAAGGATATTTATAACTATACATTTTTTTTCTTTTAATTCTTGGAAATGGATTTCAATGGCTGCAGAGTAGGGATGCACAGATACTTTTCGAGTACCAGTGGAGATACTTGGAATTTTCACAAGAACTACCAGGGTTGCAGCGGTTGCAGTTGGGACCTGGCTCTGGCGCTCCACCACTGTCCTGAAATCATTAGTCTGTATTGTTTTAGAAAAACTGCCACGTGACAATAAACAAAAATGTATCAGTACTTGTAAGTACTCGGCAAGTATCAGTACTCGCAAAACTGGTATCTGTGCATCCCTTTATTTATATTTATAAAAACAAAATCGTACATTAAAACAGAGATGTACAAACCCCAGGAGCTCTGTGTGCTCCTTAGAAATGACAGCTGCCTCCTATGTTTTGAATTTTTCTCTAGTCTAGACTTGGAGCTCAAAAGTATCGGTACATGTACTCGTACCGAGTACTGTACTTGGTATCTGTGCAACCCTACTGCAGAGGAAGAGCAAAACGCATTAAACTCCACCCAATAGATATGAATGGCAAAAGCCAAGACTAATGGGTTGGGCTTTATTTAAATGATGACTTAAAAGTCCTTGGTTCTAATCTCTGCCAGGGCAATAGCTGCATGGAGTTTGCATGTTCTCCTTGTGCTTGCATAGGTTTCCTCCCACACTAAGACATGTTAGTAGGTTAAATGCCTCCTATCTGAATTGACCCCAGTATGTGTATGTAAGCCTAGGGGATAGAACCCTTAAATTATAAGCTTCTTGAGGACAGCCACAGATACAAATGTACACTATGTAATGCACTGCATAAATTGTTGGATATATAAATGGCTGCTATAAATAATAATTTCTTCCCACTTGAGGATGGCTCAAGTTGAAGTCTGCTGACTGCAGTTCTTGCTACAACTGCCTCATCTCATGTTAACGCAAAACAAGCTCAATGCACAAAGCTAGAACTCCAGAGTAAGCATTACTTTACTTTTTTCTCAGCAGAGTATAGCGAGATTTGACAATTATAGTCAAATGGTTGGAAATAAGGTCATTATCCTTGTGTAAAGATTTGTGAATTATAAAAACTGTTCAAAATCTTTCTTAAACTCAATCATGGTTGCTTCTAAGCAAAGTTTCCCCAACACAATTTTTGACAGTTGGATAAATATGGTCTATGTTCTTTCACATGACAGATTTCACCCATTACACAATTTGCAGCATTGGGTAAAATTCAGCTTAGAGCAGAAATATGGTTTCCCCCCTAAAAAAATATATGAGCTGCAGCTTTTAATTAGTTTTCCAGTGACCACTTGTTGATCCAGTGAAGTCCACCTCATGCAGATTCCTGTGACTGGTCGACAGCACTGCTGCACTGTTACTTATTGCAGAGCTGTCTGGGTCCCTAATGGGATGATGGCTTCTTATTCACCTTTTCAGTGACCACAATTACCGGAAAAGAATTTCAGAAATGCAATTACAAAACAGAAATTTTAAAAAATGCCTTATATTTTCACTTCAAGGTCAACTAAAGAGAAAATATAAGTGTACTAGATGTGCATACAAAACATAAATACACATAAAAAACTGTTATTGATCTATGAATATCATAATTACAGCCAATATACTCTAACATATAGAAAAAAAAAACCCACACATGAAAAATTATCAGACACTAAAAGGCAAAAATGAAGGTTCTCTGCAGCAAAAACACTCCTCACAGCTTACAGAGTTTAGGAGAATGCTGCAACTCACTTGAAATGACCTTTCCATGGTAATTGCGAAGTAATACTCCCTCCTGGGATATCTGCGCTCACAGATGAACACATGGTTACATATCCTGCCCTTTTCTCCTGTCTGTTTCGTAAACAACTTCTTCCCAATCATCTGTGAGGAAATGTCTTTGGCTTCTTCTGGACTAAAACGAGAGATAAATGGAAAATGAAGGAGCGGAGCAAACTGTGAAATAAAACAGACATGTACTGCATCCTTTAGCAGCCTGTCACCTCACTTCAATTTAATTTCTCCCTTCTCCGACAGATGAAAATATGAGCATGATAGAATGTTTTGAGCACATTGTTACCTTCATTAACTGTGCAGCTATGACATTTTCAACCACAGTAGCAAAGCATTTCTGAACTTGCATCTATAAGCATAACACTGAAGTGGTGCAAATGAAATCTGTCTTATTTACCCATGATGGCTGTACTGTACAAGCATTCGTGGAAGCCTAATAGTAATGAAGTGGATGTCTGATTTGTTTGGAAACGTATGCTAGAAAAAAAACAGTGATTTATCACTGCCACACCAACATACTTAAAAGATGGGGGTTTTATTCCATTAATATAAAATCCTTGTTTTACAAATATATATTTAATACAGGGCGCATCCATAACACAGGATTGCCAGAACATTACTTTTCTACATAGCAGAAGATGACTCACTTGCGTGTGTGCATTATAGTATGAGCTATTGATTTGTAGACAAATTATTTTTAACAAAGCAAATAGGACAAAAATAGATTTGATATTTTACCTAAACATAAGAAAAATATGTGCAAAAAGACTGTAGATTTTCTTTAAAGAAAATCCATCACACTAAACATAAGGAACCTGCGATTGCTTCTGGAAATATTAGTTGACGAGCCTCTGGGACACAATGGTGATGTAGCAGTCAGCAGGTTGAACCACAGCAAGATGCGAGCGATGTGTCGATTGTGATGTCCCTCCTTGCCACCTCATCCAGAAAGCACCTTGTATTCATTGAAAATAATACAAGGTGTTCACTGGATGCTGGAGATGCCTAGCAAATAATTCCCTGTGCTCAGTGTGCAGAGGGAGATGATGGCTATTACTGCATGCAGTACAAACTAAAAAACAACCACACACAAAAAAAACATACTTCCTGGAATTCTGCTTGAAGATAAAGAAATACATGCATTGTTTTTTTGAGGACAAACTAGGCTTTCATTTAAGGCGGAACTCTGGGCACAAAAACTTTTTTGATATATTCATTAGCCACAAAAGGGTATAAATCCACTTTGTGTGCACCAAATGCCTTTCCATTATTAAGTGTTATCTTCTAAAAATATCAGTATCATTACTGTGCTGTACATTGCCTGTGCAAAGCAGAGCTGTTGGAGGGGCTCAGAAGCTCCACCCACTACAGGCTGTTTGCAGAGAACTACAGGAGGGGGTGGAGACAAGATCAGTCACCCTGCACAAAGAGAGAGTGGGCAGAAGTGACTGGTCTTATTTACAGGAAGCTCCTACAGAGACAGTTTTCACTGGATTATTGCACAGATCTGAAGACATGTGACTCTTGTATTTAGACAATTTTTGTTTATCCAGCTTTATTCAGCTGTAACAATATTGTCTTGCAAAATATTTTTAATGTAATCTATAGACAAAAACACCCTAGACACTTTGTTGACATTTTTTAGGGTGTATCGCCTACGTTCAAAATCCTCAAAGTGGCTAATATTATGGTGAAGTCAGATCCAATTATTTGAACCATTTATACAGCAGAAATGGTATGTTCTCCCCATGTTTGTGTGGCTTTCTTCTGGATGCTTCTTTCTGCAATTCATTATCTACTAGATGGTAACTGCCTTCTAGTGTTACAGACTGTTTGCAACATAGGAAAGCTCACTGGAGAAAAAAATCTACTAGGGCAGGAACTGATGAGTACTCTTTTAAAAAGAAATGTATGTGTATTGAATGAGATCCTAATAGGTTGGACTTGATGGACTAATGTCTTTATTCAACCTCAAATACTATGTAACTATGTAACTATGAAATTCATAAACAACTGAGCAACATTTTAGTATAACACGAATCTGCATTGGGGAGTTCATGGCTTTAGTTCCCAAAAACAGAATATTAGGTCCCAGTTTTCTATAGTTCACCAAGAATTAGCCCTGGGGAGGCACATTGCCATGTTCTTAACTGGTGGCCTCTTACATTCCCCTACTCCAAAAACTATTTACAATGTCCAGGCAATCCTAGCCGCTGAAGTAAATTTTTTTTTGTGGGGGCCATTACAAGTGCAGATGAGTTGCAACTGGTGCTGGATGCCATTAGTCTATACGCTTGTAACATCCTCCTCAAATATGCACAAATGCATTACAGTAATTAAAGGAGTTACAGAGGGAAGAAAATTGTAGCTTATCAAACTTCAAGCTCATTAAGTGATAACTTACGAATAGACTATCTTCACTCCTCCTTTAAGGCCACCTTCAAAGGTTCCCTTGCCTCGACCACCAGCCAACACTTGTGCTTTAACCACCAAATCCTTAGAACCTTGAAGAAAGAAAAAAAAAAAAAAAATTAGGCAATTTGTATTTTTGAGGATTAATTTAATTATTGAACAACTACAGTTCTCCCGGTCAAGCCACAATCTTAATAGACCTCAACCCTGAATGTTTAGGCTGGGTTCACACCTAGGCGTATTGACTATGCGCGTGCGTCGCGCGTTTTTACCGCGATTCCCGTAAACAAAAACGCGAGACAAACGCCCGTTTCCGAGGGCTACTTGGCTGTATCCCAATGGAAACGCGAGACCAAAACGCCCCAAAGAAGTACATGTACTTCTTTGGGCGTAGGCCGTTTTGTATCGCGTTCGGACGGGCGGAAATACAGCAAGGTGTGAACCAGACCCATTGAATACAATGGGATTTAGATGTTTGAACGTTTTGTAGAGCGTTCGTCGAGCGTTGAATGCGCTACAAAACGTTCAGGTGTGAACCAGGCCTTAAGAAAGTAAAAGTGAGGTTTTGGCTCTCTTAGGAGAACATCTATGTGTGCACAATTATTGGGCAACTATTAGGCTGCGTTCACACCTGACCGATTTGTAGGGCGTTCTACGCTCGACGAACGCTCTACAAAACGGTCAAAAATATAAATTGCATTGTAGTCAATGCCCTCGTTCCCACCTCAACGTATTTCCGCCCGTCCCTGACGCCCTACAAAACGGCCCACGCCTGAAAAGGTCCCGGGACTACTTTGGGCCGTTTTGTAGGGCGTTTTCCATTTGGATACTGCCAAGTAGCCTTTGGGGTCGCGTGACTTTTTACCGCGAATCACGGTGACAGACGCGCATATTACAATACGCCTAGGTGTGAATGGGGCCTTAGTGTGCAGGATTATTATGCAACTAAATGGAAAACAAACATGTTCCCATCTCACTTGTTTATTTTTATCTGCTAAAGTGAAAACAAAACTCAAAATTTACAAATAAACATTTCTGACATTTTCAAAAACAAAATCAGTGACCAATATAGCCCCCTTCTTCTCAATAACAGTCATCAGCCTTCCATCCATGGAGTCTGTCAGTGTCTTCATCTGTTGACGATCAGTTTTTTGTGCAGCAGCAACCACAGCCTCCCAGACACTGTTCATAGAGGTGCACTGTTTTCCTTTACAGTAAATCTCCCGTTTAAGAAGAGCCCACAAGTTCTCAATAGGGTTTATGTCAGGTGAGGAATGGGGCCATGTCATTATTCTTTCATCTTTAAGGCCTGTACTGGCTAGCCACGCAGTGGAGTACTTCGATGCATGCGATGGAGCATTGTCCTCCATAAATATCATGGTCTTCTTGAAAGATGCAGACTTTTTCCTGTACCACTGCTTGCAGAAAGTCTTCTAAACTGGCAGTAGGTTTGGGAGTTGATTTTCAGTCCATCTTCAACCCGAAAAGGTCCAACTAGCTCATCTGTATTAATACCAGCCCGCCAGTACCCCACCTGCACCTTGCTGGCGCCTGAGTCGAAGTGGAGCTCTGTGCCCGTTACTGATCCAGCCACAGGCACATTCATCTGGTCCATCAAGAGTCACCTCTCATCTCATCAGCCCATCAGACCTTGGAAAAATCTGTCCAGATATTTCAAGGCCCAGTCTTTTCAAGAGTGCTGCATCCCTCTGAAAGACTTAACAATTTTTGACTTTTCAGAGTCAGTTAGATCTCTTTTTTGGCCTATTGTGCCTGAGGAAAAGAAGCTGCCTAATTATTATGCACAACTTGATATTGGGTGTTGAATGTGAATGTGTGCAACTGGGATAGATTGGCATATGCCAGGGGCAGGGGGAAGCCATCTTGGGAACCACAGTCCAGAACCTGTGTACTTTTATAGTATGGGTAATATACATACATGCAATTGATTGATATGCCAACCAGTTTGATATTTGATGTGTTGTAAAGGTGTTGGGTTGGTGTCATCTTTGGTTTAGTATTGTTATCTTAATATTGTTGGTTTGCTATGCTACTGTTCCTGCGGTAGTATTCTTTGATTTGTTGTTTTTGTTATTACTGTACTCTTTTCTTTATCAATAATCCAGTTGTGCATGTTTAAATTGCTGGTACTATATATTCTTTTAAACCTACAGTTTATGGTGTGCGTTTCTTAGCTGACCTACCCCTCTGAAACAGTAAGAAGTAGGTGTTGATAAATAATATGGATTTTATTAATATTCATATCAATATTAATATTAGGTTCAAATCACCCCCATTTTTCTTACAGTAAGGTTTGTAGATAGTTATTACTAAACATTTGGAAAGGTGGGTTTGTTGTTATTTTAAAGATATGGGTAAAGGTTCACTTTAAGGGATAAGATAAAATATAATTGTCACCAGGATGGGAAGTGAAAAGGTAGACAGCAAAACAGTAGACCTTTTACCTGCTTTTCAGTGCTGTCTGTGTCCCCCTTGAAGACCTTACCCCAATGCTTGTTCCACTAAATGTGGTGACTAGGACAGATAGTGAGAGAACTTCTCAAATGGACAAAGAAAAAAAAAAAACCTGACAGTGCTTCCCACTTAAACATTCCTTTCCAAAATCTTTACCGCTTCTGTAACAGGATTAAAACAGTGGTCCTACTTAAAGGGGCATTCATTTAGGAGCTAAATCTTTAGTTGGGGTACTTGAATGCATTAACAAAAATGTATCTTATTTGTGCATCACTGTAGCTGTAGATCTTCAAATCACCTATGAATTTGTGCCGTGTTGAGCGTGTTGAAAAGTAGCCACTGAGATTTTAGACCATCAAGAGAGCGAGTTTGAAGCGGTGGCTACTTTACAACACTATGGCGAAGAGAAGATTTGAGGAGCTACAGCTGAGTGATGAACAAATAAGATTTATGTAGTTAGTGTACTTGAATGCATTTTTAAGATTTAACTCCTAACTTTAGTGTCACTTTAAACATTTCAGCCAATCCAGCCTTTAATAAGCAAAGAGTCTCTTTAAGGGTTAGTTTTACTCGTAAGGTTAAAGTTGGGGGGGGGGGATTTAGGGTTATAAATCAACTTACTCAATGCATGCTGATGCTGCTAAATTTGCCAATGCTGCTAAATTTAAGCCCTAAAGGGTTAAAAATGGATTGCAGATCACTGGTACGAGTACACATTTTATTCCACACTTGGTTTCAGCACAAAAATACCGGCATCAAAAACTCCTCCAGCTGTTCTGGTTCCGCCTCCTTTTTTTTTTTGTTACCTCTCTCTTTTATGTCCTCTTC